CTGTCGCAATAAACTCTCATATAGCGATCACAGTGCTCCATTTCCATTTCGTCCCCATCAAAGAATTAAGCCTTGTTTAATGTGTATGAATTGGAAAATGTAAATACACAGTAAAAATGCAACAACAAATAACTTGCTGTCAAATGTATAATGACGTCATAAGAATTTTTTATTCTAATTCTGTTTTTCTTTGTTATTGAAGGACCATGGCACATTTGAGTAAAATTGAATATTAATGTTATGCATAAAAAAAATTTATATGTAATTTGTAATCAACAGAATAAACATTAAATTTTTTCTCAAAATCTTTTTTTTTTGTACTTTTCTGCAAAATTCATCAAGTGTAGCAAGCATCAAAAATTAATGCACCAAAATTCTTAACAATTACTCAAGAACTATTGAATATATTCAGAATTATTATAATATTAATTATTATTATGGTTTTTATATTATTATCGAAAAATAAATTTAAATAATTTAAAAATTTTTATTAATTATTATTAATATTAATAATTAATAACGGTGTAATATATAGTTAAATATATAATTCAAATAAAACAACTGCTCTTCTGTGAAAAAAAGCAGGTTATAAATTGGAATATAATAAAAATATTTTAAATTTCTTCCTAATTAAAGAGATTTTAAATATTTTATATAATTAATTTTTTTCAATAATTTTATATGTTTTTCAATAATGATACTGAAATTATTATTTAGTAATAATATCTATTAATTGTTCATATTTTCTATATTCTATACCAATATTATTTATTTAATAATTTCCGTTAATTACTGTAAAAAAATATAGTATTTATATCAAACATTTAGTAATTAGAAGGAGAATTAAATTAAAATTCAATTTAAAGTATAAAGACAACTTAAAATTCTAATAAGCTCCATGGGCGTAGCTAGCAGCGGCAGGAGGGTAACTTATCTCCTTGTATTTTTAAGTGCTGTAATACTTATAACAAGAAATTAAATTCTTTCCATCCTTATTTCATCTTATCAGTCTATTATTAATTTTGAAATAATAGAGCGCCAATTTGAATGTGATTGAAAACTGTTAAAGAGAATATTGAAGAATATACCCTAAAAATAAAAAGCTGTTTCTATCATATGGGTATATCAAGCTGCCTAACCTTTCTTCGCCTTTAACTTCCAAACAATTCATCATTATAAATGCATTCTCTTATTATTAATTAAAAATTTTTCAAAATAAAATTTGCTTAAAATAAACTTTGTTAAATATTTTTTAAAAGCCATTATAAATGCATTAATATTATTCATACAGATTTAAAATTATTCTATTGAAAATGACAAACTCTTAACAAAATTATGACAAAGTTTTCAATCTACATATAATTAGTTTGCATATAACTTGCAATTTATCTTTTTATCACTTCCTATCATCCTCTTTCTGCTCTCGTACTTCCTCTTTCTCTTCTAACATCTTTATTAAAATAAAATATGTCAACCTTAATAAAATTTTCAAAAAGACATAAAGTAGTAAATCCCATAAGCGCAACTTATTTTCAATTAAACAATATTTAACCTCAATTAAGAATTCATAAAAAATATTATTATCTAATAGATTTTGTCACGGTAGCTTTCCTGCCAGTCTACCTGGCTGTAAAATGTCATTTACTTTTAATTAAGTCGGAGAGAAAGCTACGGTAATACTTGTCCCCATAACGCAGAGGTCTGCTGATTGCGCCTAACCAACCACTCAACGCGCGTAGACCCCATTGTTATATCCGCCATTGTAAATTTATGCATCAACTTAGTGTATATATGTGTGTATGTTTGTGTAAGGATGTATGTTTGTGGAAAGTAGAAAGTTGTGGGCCTAACTTTATAATAAATTTACTAACTACATAAGCTGTCAAGCCTCATTATTAATTTAAAAAAAAAAATTTTATGAAATTTTGTTGCTTTTGCTTCCTTTTTTATTTTGACATCCACCAGAGTCAAAAATTTATTTGACGCATACGGGATTTTCCATCTTTTCCATATTTTTGTACACAAACAAAATTGACTATTTCCGGTGCTTGCAAGGCAGAGCAAGACAAGCAGCATTGGTTTTTATTATTTTTATTAAAATTTCACAAGATGTTCACTTCAGTGTGTGTTGTGTGCCTGTCAGTGCATTTGTGTGTGTGTGAACTTCGATAGAGCAAGAGTTAAATAATTTTCCGCACATGTTTTTTTTTTTTTTTCTTCTTGTTTTGTATTTTTTTTTTGTTTTGTTTTTTGCCAACAAATCACAAGAAGTGAATGACTCTTTGAGCAGCATTTCAGTAGGTTGCCATTGTTATTTATGTGTGCTAACAAAAATTCATATTCGAATGTATGAAAAAAAATTTATTATTTATTTGTGTTAGTTTCTGTGTTACTGCCTCCCTCTCAGCCTTGTGCAATTTGTAGAGTGAGCATTACTTTGCAACTGTTTGTTTCCGCTCATTATACATTTATTTTAATTACTTTTGTTACAATTGCATACATACTCGTACATACATTCACATCACTATATTTACTAGTCTATTTGTGTATATGTGAGTACTACAGTAAAATTTTTTTTACAGTTGTATATTTAAATTGACATGTGTGTGCATATTCACCACGTTCTGATTTTTAGGCCATGTGCCAATTCGCATACACTTTAATGCATTAAAAATGTTTGTGTGTGTGTGTATGTGTGAGAGTAGAAATAACTTTTAATTTCACAAAAAGCTTCACATTTTTTATTGCATACTTTTTGGAGCTTTTCGAACTTTTTTTTGTTAAAAATTTTCGCGGGCAAGAGCGTTTTGCTTTTGAATTACGCTTCTGTTTTCTTTTTAGTTCTATATATTATATTGTTTTGGTAGGCAATTACTATTATTGTGAATAAAAATTAATAAAAACAACTTCAAAAAACAACTTCAATTATTTCACACTAATTTTTTGTATTGTATTCAATATTGTGAACTTAAGTCTTTATTTATATGATTAACACAAAATATTTATATGGGAATAACACATATCTTGGAAAAAAACATGTACGACATGTTGTACACTTAAGACGATCAACGAAATAATTGAAAATATTTGTACTAAAATTTTTTTTTTTTTGTTTTTACATATAAACAATAACTTTAACAATAACAGTAAGTGTTACTTATTAATAATTTAAGATGCTAAGTAACCGACCTTAATCCCGGTAAAATTATATTTCATTGTTATTAAATTCTTCGAACATGGTTTTTTTTTGTTATTTCTATTCATATCTGTTTCATATTCCTTTAATCACCATTACTTAATTACTTAAATGGCCATTACAACCCGTTACCAGCTTTCAGTCTGACGCAGCATGTCTCTTCAAACGCTCAGCTGTGTTCACGCTTTTTTCAATCTCGTAGATTAGGTCTGGTTAGTGCCCCCTCAAATTGCCTGGGAGCTATGGTCTACTTATATTTCTTCTTCTTTCAATTACCGCCACTAATACCTTTTTCATTGAAGCATCGTCATCTATTCTGACGATTTGACCAAGCCATCTTACAATTTCCGCCTCAAATACCTTTTTCGCATCTACATTTTCATCGATTCTCACGACGTGACCAAGCTATTGAAGCCGCTGGTAAGCTCGTATAGCTCGTGATTTATACAGATGTGATTGTCGCCTCTTACTCGAAGAGGACTAAAGATCTTATGACAAACTTTTCTCTGGAAAACCCTCAGTGCTGCTTCACTATTCTGTTTTCAAATCCCAATTGCTGCCAATTATAGCAACTCTGACTATTACAAAATCGCCCGGAGTGGAGTTAAAAACATACAGCTCTGGAAATTAATGTCCTAATGTTTAACACTTAATAATTCGAGTATTATTACTATTTGAATATTTCAGGACAATTATTTTTTGTATATTAACAAAAATAAAATAGCCTAATCTTTCTAATGTTATTTATTAAAAAATTAAAAAAATTATGTTCACTCAGTTATGACAAATTTTACAGTAATTAATTATTTTCCATTCTTCGTTGTTTAAATTTAAAACAAATAAATTTAATCTGTCTGATTCAACTACCTCAAATATAATGTTGTGGATTCTACTAATTAAAATTTAATATATTTTTATATTTCATAAATCATAACTACAAATATAACTACAATTTTTCACATTTTTCATAAACATTTATGAATTACATTCCTGACTAAGCAACAATATCATTTTTAAACCTTCAAAACATTAGTATTCTCTCACATATCTCCTTCATCCACAAACTCAGTCAATTATTTTTTCTTACATTCCACAAAGCTTTTGCAACATGTAAACAAAAACCACGTTTTCATTTGTAATTTTACTTTAACCTTAGTAATAAGCCGGCAAAATGCAGCATTTTACATTCCTTTAAACTCTCTTCGTAGAACGTCTTACGCTCAAATGACGCTTAACATACGCAACCATCGTCAAACAACCCCATGTCCGACGCATACGTGCCACATATGGAAACTGAAAGCTCTGCGCATTTTACACGTCCTCTAATTTAACAATTTCTGGGTAAATTTTTAGCTCAGTTTGTCTTTTGTAATGGTAGCGTTCGAACATTTCGCGGAAGACCACAATTCGAAACGGTGCTCTAATCTAGTAATCTAGTGAAAAAACAAAAAAAAATATATATATATATACTTGAATATGTTAATTAGTTACAAAACTTAGGCGAAAACTTAAAATTCCAAACAAAATACTACAAATAATTATTATATAACATTTATAGCTTTAAATAAATCGCACGAAATTTTAAATAAATATTATATAAATTAAATAAATATTAATTCATGTAACATAACTAAATTTTTTATAAACTGCCTAAAACTATGCAAAATTATATAATTTCGCTAGCGGAAGTCCAATGTAGTCTAATCAATGCTATTAAATTCAGTTGGGTAAATCTACTATGAATACAATTTAAATAAAAAAAAATATAGCAACTTTTAAAAAAAAAATCAATAAAAAATAAAAATAAAAGAATTTAGTTTCAATGTGTTGCTAAAAATTTAAATTTGTACGATTTTAACTTGGCTTTTCCGAAAAATCCTATTACTGTGTGTAAGCACACAATTTGCATGCGCTTGTATGTGTGCAGGGATGACAGGAAGTGAAAGGAAGTGTACGTTAAAATAAACCAAAAAGCAAAATAACATAGGGAAATCACTTGTAAAAACATTTCGGTACTTGCGTTACGTTACTGAGTGTCGTGCCTTGGTGCGTGGTTACTATCTTCTCCTCGCATCATTGTGTGTTCTATATATATAAATTTATTTATATGTATGTATGTTTATATATATATATATATACATAAAGATATAAATTTATAAGTATTTATGTAAAGTGTAGCTAAAATATACAAAGCGTAACATTAAAGGCTCATGTCCGACCATAAGGAAGATAATAGAAAAATTCTACGTTTAACTTAAGTCAACAGCGGGAAAGTAGGCAAACATTTTTTGATTTACTGCGAAAGGAGTAATAAATTTTTATAAGTGCTGGATTATCGAAAACCTAAAATCTCTGTAAGTTTTCAATATTTTCCAATACTTTCAATATTTTAAGCCTTAAGTTAAGTAAACACAAACAATACATAAAATGAATATAAGAAGTCAAGATTAAGATTTATTAGTTCTTAAAATTAATTTCTGTTTAATAAAAAAAGTATATACAATAAATGGAGAAAAAATTATAAATCAAAATTTATTAATACTTTTTTAATGAAAAACTTGTGAATATCAAAACAAGTTATTAATATGTAATTAACAAAAGAATTTTACATATAAAATACTTAAGTAATTACATAAGTTAGAAAATAGTAAAGTAAATAGATAAAGAAGTCTATAATTAAATATATAAAATTATATTATTATTTTATTTTTAAGGCCTAATAGGATATAAATGAAAGAAATTTTGTATGAATATATATATTAATATTTAATATAATATATATTATAATTATAATTTTTGATGGTATATATAAATATATAAAAATACAATAAATTATATATTTATATTATATTAATTTTTATTATTAATACAATAAATTATTGTGTATAATTATATATATACAATAAATTATATATATATATATACCCCTAATTTTCTTTGAAGCCAAAACTATACTACCAAATGACTAAATATATAATTTATTGTAATGAAAAAAATTTTTTCATTTATTATTTTTATTTTTGAAATGGGCGAATTTGTCAGTTCTTTAAAAAATGCATAACAATTTGAATTATTTTAAAAATTATAAATATAGAAATAAGGTTTAAATTTAAATTTTTTTTCCCCAATTAAGAACCATTAGATTTTTATTTGAACAAAAAATACTATAAAAATAAATGTTGAATAAATTATTCCTTTCTTAAAAATAAATTAAATACACAGATAAAATTTTTTTATGATACATTGTAGCTTTGGAAGTTGAAAACTTAAGGGCTCAATTGGGTGAAAAAAGACTCATACTGCACTGTTTATGATTCCTAATTGTAATAGATTTAACATTTCTCATGATTTAAATTTTTGACAGTTTCTGTATAAAAATAAAGCTTAAATTTGAAAAATATTTTTGCTCTATTTATGTATAAACAAATATATTGATAAGTTTACTTTTTTGGGTAATTTTGATATTATACAAATATAAACACATATACTAACAATTGTAAAAATTTTTTATAATAAAAAAATTTATTTTTTTTTAAATAAATTTATTTATTTTTCAAATAATTTTATTTTTTTTTTGTAATAAATTTAGTTTTTTTAAATAAATTAATTTTTTCAAATAAATATTTTTATTTTATGAAATATTTTATCTATTAAAAATACATACAATATTTATATTTTATAAAAATTTTCTATTGTGTATATTTCGTCTATACTCTATTATATAACTATTTTCAAAAAAAAATAACGAAATTGTTCAATTAGTCCCTTAAAAGTAAGCTTAAAAATGTTTTTGTATATATTGTACATAAATTTATATTGATAATTTAATAATAAGTACATTTTCTTTAGTTTCCTCTAATTGTTATTAAAAAGTAGAGACCTTTTTTTAAAAAAAATCCTAAACAAAACTTATTGTAAAATTAAAGTGTGAATTCTTTCTCTTAATTTTTGTTTTCAATTTTTAACAACAATAAAAAAAGTTTTGGCCAATTAGCCTAAAAAAAACTTTATTACCATTGTTTAATTACAAAATAATTAACAGCTAAAAAAGTCCTAAAGAAAAAGAAAATAAAAAATTTCATATAATGCTATATCTATAAAACTTTATTTGCTTCTATATCTTTTTCAAAATACATAAAGCTTTTTTAATAAATATTTATAGAAACGATTAGTATTCCTCCTACTCTGCCTTTTTAAAATATTTCTGGTCTCCAAAAAAAGATATGATTTCTTATTTCAGTTCATCATAAAACTACTTTGTAATCGAATGTAGCTCAATAAATCATTAGAAAAATAATTAAAAATATATGTCTGACTTAAATATAATTAAATATTGAAATATTCACAAAAACATTAAAATTAAAAAGAATAATTTATAAACTCCGTTGACTTTATTAAAAACCTTTTAACTTAAAGTCATCAAAGCAAAGTTATTAAATTTTTAGTGACGTTTAAGTTCGTCATATTTAAATAATTTTTTAATTACTTTATAAATGTTTTCATATTAAAAAATTACAATTAACAATTAAGAAGAACACTTAAGTCGTAACGACTCATTTTACGATACAGAACTGATTATTCGATTAATTTAATGAGAAATTAACAATAAATTTGCTAGTACGAATTACAACACATTTTCCATGTTATTGCAAAACATTTCAACATAAATATTTCAATCAATACTATTTAATGTACATTTATTACATAGTATGTATATATTTACAATATCTATTTCCATTTGTTTGACGAATTTGTATGAGTCGTTAAGCACAAAATATAAAATAATAGTTCATAGGCATTAAACTATAATTAAAGTGACTTAATGACTGTCGTCAATTAAGTTCGTAAAACCTAAAATAATATTTTATTGTATTTATTTTTAATATGAACATAATATAATAGATTAGATAAAATATTACAAGTTTAATGACATACATTTATAATAAACACTGACCTAATATTATCAATTTCTTAATTTGTAGTGCACTTTCACTTTTGAAATGAAATAATTAAAGAATTAAAATAATTTTATTTATTTAATAAATGAACTTTTAAAAATTTTTTATATATAAACAGGATTTTTGTTTAATATATTTAACGAAAAATATTATAGAGTACTGATTAAAACTTATTTATTTATGCAATAAATAAAAATTTATTAATTTAATTCATATATATAAGTAAGATATTTTAGATCTATATATAATGGAAAAAATTATACAATACTGATTAAAATTAATTTATGTATTCAATAAATAAAAATTTATAAATGTAATTCTTATATATAAATAGGATATTTTACTTTTATATATAATTGAAGAAATTGTGTAATAGGGATAAAACACTTTAGTTTAGGGGTTTTTATAAAAATGTATATTTTAATTAAATAAGTAAAAGTATTTTTTTTTAATTAAATTTTTTAAATTTTTAAAGATAAACTTTGTCTAGTGTCAAGTATTTTAAAGGCTAACAGCTGTTTTAAACTGAGCTTTTTTTATTATTTCAATATAAATATACTTGCATATTAATATTTGCAACATATATTAAAACACAATATATAATATATATATAATATATGTACAATATATATTCATATATATATGAATATATAAAAACACAACATACACTGCAATATGAATTTTTAAGCTTCACTCACGCAAGCAGTCAATGCTTAATTTTACTCATATATAAATAGTTAACATTCTATATTTTTCCTAACAGTTTGTATATTAAATAATTCATAAAAAAATTTATAAATTTCTGACTTTAATAACAGTCAATGGCATAAGAGTCAGGCTAAGGAAAAGTCCTTTAGAAACCTATGGGTTCCTTGTTTGTATGTCCATAAAGCCTATTTTTTAATGGACCGCTTTCATTTGATCTAACAGAAAATATTTATATAATTTCTCTAACATAATAGAACAGCAAAGAAAGAATAGAAAAGAAAAGAAAAAATATACTTTGTCTTTATTTATTTTTTTAAAAAATTTCATTTAAAAGCGCCTAAAGTTAGAATTCTTATGATTTGCCAAATTTACTTTTGGCGCAACATTTATGTGGAAGTTATAGTATCTTAAAGATGCTGCATTGAGTTGACTAAAGTACTCAAAAAACTTGAAATAAAATTATTTTTTAGGATTAAATTTTGTGCCAAATAGGCAATTTGAGTTGAAACTAAAAAAAAAATATTTTTCACTTCATGATAATTACGAGAAATTTAAAATATATTGGTCCCAGCAGTAATTTTGCTTATTATTTATTATTTTTATTAGTTAATTATTACTTCTTTTTTCTTGGCATAGTAGACTATATAGATTCAAAATCGCTTCACATTCTTATCTACTTCTAACTAATATTTTTTTAGTTGGTGTTGCTAATTCTTCGAAGATTTCCATTTCACCATCAATCCAACTTATACTTATGCTCAATGAACGATCTGTGTCAGTTTTTTTTTGTGACCTACAGTGTTCTTGGTGCTCTTTTTAAAAGAATTGCCATACTTTGTCGTTATATCTTCTGCAAATACGATATTTTTTATCATATAATCCAAATTTATCGTAAGATATTCTTAATAAAAGCGGTTATATATATTTTTAATTAGATGGTATCAATGCAAGATCGTAGGCATCTAATATCCTTTATTTCTTATGGTATAAAGTTAACTACGATATAAAATATATTTGCTGCATCGGTTTGTTGCAAATCAGAGTTAATGCAATAATTGTCAATTTTCATTTTTTGTATCGTGTTACGACAGGGCTATGAAAAGTCATTACACTATGTAAAAAAGGTTTCTTGCAAATTATCTACGTCAGATTTCATATTTTGTATCGAGTTATGACAGAGTTTTGAAAAGTCACATACTAAGTAGCGAAGGTGGCCTCCAAATTATCGATCTATTTATAGTTTGAAAGACTCATTTAGAATATAGTAATAAGCAAAGGCGATGAGTTTAATATCGAATGCATTTTTTGTACCCATAACAAATCACAAATCAATACTCAATTGTGCTTTCGAAACTCTCATTGATACACTCTTCCCACATTGTCGGCGATAGCATCTATTATTTCATAAAGGATATTGATAAATATTTTGTGAACAATAGATGAACGAAATATAGTTCTGTAGTCTGTTTGATTATAAGAGCAGTAATAACTTGAAAATATATACTGCTTTATATATAAGTTAATAATTAAATAAAAACTACAAAGACAGTTAAGTGTGTTTGCTTTAGTAGCCAAAGTAAAAGTGAACGAGCTGCGCTTATGGAGTTGAGAGCTACAAAGGCCAAATGGGACTTTTCCAGACAAACAAGTTGATGTCCGATTTTGTCCGGTTAGCAATTAGGCCATCA